AGTGTGGTACAGGTGACTCAATTGCAAGGTAAGTCCTCCAACTCACTTTTGTACCTCTGGACCATTCTCTCTTGTCCAAGACAGGGGAGATGCCCCATGCTTCACCAAATCTGCGGACCGCCTCCCGTGGGTCACTTTTGGCTCATAAGATCAAGGTCTATAAACCAATGAGGTTCTGTATTTTACCATGCCTCTTTTGCGAATTTGGGTATCAAACCCTATAAATACAAGGTCCTGGAAGAAGCAGGCATCTTAGATCGTGAGGAAGATCTGAGGTCCACTTCATGGAGGGGACCACGGACCTTTTAATAAAGTGCCATTTGCTCAGAGCTCTGCCTCAATCTCTTTTATTCTAGGTGGGACAATTTTAATCCCCACATATAAGTCTTCCCAAGTTTTTATGAAACCATGCCATTTATTGTTTCTTTCCTTTTTTTATTTTGTGCACGCATGCGCGCGTGCACGCGTGTGTGTGTGTGTGTGGGGGCAATTGAGGTTAAGTGACTTGCCCAGGGTCACACAGCTAGTGAGTGTCAAGTGTCTGAGACTGGATTTGAACTCAGGTCCTCCTGACTCCAAGGCCCAGAGCTCTATCCACTGTGCCACCTTCATTGCTTCTTGTAGCACAAGAGTATTCCATCACATTCATATACCATATCTTGTTCAGCCATTCCCCAACTGATAGGTATTCCTTCAGTTTCTAATTCTTTGCCAAAACAAAGACAGCAGCTATGAATATTTTTGTACATATGGCTCCTTTTCCTGTTTCTTTGATGTACAGTCAGCAGTCTTTGGGGCACAGTTCCAAACTGCTTTCCAGAATGACTGGACTAGTTCACAGATACAACTGTGCATGAGTGTACTAATGCTTCTCTATCGTTCACCATTTTCCTTTCCTGTCATCTTAGTCAATCTGATGTGTATGAGATAGTACCACAGAGCTATTTTGATTTGCATTTTTCTAATTCTTAGCAATTTAGAGCATTTTTTATATAATTGTTGATAGCTTTAATTCCTTCCTCTGAAACCTACCTGTTTATATCCTTTAACCATTTGTCAATTGGGAAATGGCTATTGTTATTGTAAATTTGACTCAATTCCCTACATATTTTCGAAACAAGCCCTTTATTAGAGAAACTTGGTGCAAAGATTTTTTTTCTTCCAGCTTCCTGCATTTCTTCTAATTTTAGTTGCACTGGTTTTGTTTATGCAAAAAACATTTTAATTTCATATAATCAAAATTATTCATTTTACCTCCTGTGAATTTCTCTATCTCTTCTGGCAACTACTTCTGCAGATGCTACAGCCCCTGTCTCCTCAGTAGCCACAGCTACTGAAAACCCAAAAAAGAAATTTTCCATGACCAAAGTTGTTAGTACTATCATATGATACAAGATATAGAGCGAGTATGATTTTTATCGGTGGAAATAATAGTAAATGCATTACCATTTGCTTTGTTGCCATACCCTAAGAACCATTAGACCCTTACATATGGAATTTCCTATATGTGTTGTCTCCCTCAGAATATGAACTCTGAAGGAAAGGGCTTTCTGGTTTTTCTATTTACGTTCCTAATTTTTCATTCCTTCATTCTTTCTCATTGTGCTTCTGACTCTCTGGACTTCATCACCAGGCTTCCCCCTTGGGTGCCCCCCCTTTTCAGCTCTCTCTGGCTGTGTTATCTTCTCCCATTAAAATGTAATCTCCTTGAGGCTAAGGACTATCTTTTTATTTGTATCTCCAGAGCTAAGCACAGTGCCTGGCACATAATGAATATTTAATAAATGTCTGTTACCTCTTGTGATCTCATTCATTTGTCAACTGCAGCTTGTAGTTTTAAAGAGTTAAAGAGCCTAGACCAGAGGTGTCAAACTCAAACAGAACCAGGGGCCACTGATCCATGCAGAAGGATCCCTGCAGGCCACATGTTGACTTAGTTTTCAAATCTAAGGTTATCAATGTTTTATTGTCCTTTAATTTATTTTGTTAAATATTTCCTAATCACATTTTAATCAGGCTCTAGCCGCACTCAGGAGTGTTGTGGCCCTGCGGGGCCAGTGGCCCACATGTTTGACATCTCTGGTCTAGAGCACTTGGAAGGTAAGCGACTAGGCCAGAGTCTGTGTGACTTGAACTCAGGTCTTCCTGACTTTGAGGCCAGTGAGCCATCTGCTAGGCCTTGTTGCCTCTGACGTATACATAATAGCTATAAGAATCCTGGATTTGGAACCAGAGGTCCTGGGTCCAGAAGACTTCTAAGGTGGCTTTTAGCTCTAAACCTGTATACCATGATCCTCTCTTCTCCCTGTGAGATCCTTTGTGCTAGCGCCAGTCACGCCTTAAGAAACTCCACCCCCAGGTTACCAGTGCCATGATCCATCTCCTCCACTGATACTTGCATGCTGCCAGAGAATAGTGCCCACCAGGTCTGCTAAAATGATATGTTATCTATTTTTTACTGCGTCCCACCTGTCATATAATGCAATTATTCTGTTCTTTCATGATTGACTCCTTCTAAAGCTCATAAGAGCAACTATTCGAAACTTTCTTTCCTTTTCTCAAATCCCCAGTAACCACTCCTCTTCTTTGCTCTCCCTCTCTGCAAAAGACCCAACCTCTAACCACGACTCCTGTCTTTCCTCCTAATCGATGCCTCACAGTCCCTTTACCCCATTCCCCGTTCTCCCCTGAGAAGTAGAGGGCTCCTCTACTTTTGCTCTTGTTCCGACCCTTCAAGTCTCTGCCAGGAGCTTGCCACCTTCTGTCAACCACTGGCTCCTTCCCTGACACCTACAATGATGCCCGGGTCCCCCCCCACCCCATCCTTAAAATTCTGTCACTTGACCCTCTCATCCTCTCAAACTTTTTCCTCTATGTCTCATCCCATTCATAGTCAAACTCCAAGAAAGGATTGTTACACTCTTTGCTGTAATTATTTTTTTATTTCCCAGTCACTTGTCAAACCCCTTGTAATCTGGCTTCAGATCCTGTTACTCCACTAAAAATGGTCTCTTTAAAGTTTCATTTTTTGTTGACATCTTTTTTTAAAGCATCACCTTCATTTCCAAATGTCCCTCTTCCTCCCCTCTACATAGAACCATATTTTATAGCAGAGAGTAAAAAAAAAAAAAAAAGTTCATCAAAATTAACCAATACAGGAATCTAGTCTGACAGCAGACATGCTCCAGGCCCATAGTCCTTCACCTATCCTAAGGAGAGAGGGAGGGAGGTGTATTTTCTCATCATTTTGGGGAAAATATTACTGGTCACAGTATTCCAGGAATCTCTTTTGGTTGTCCCTGACATTTACACTGTTACAGTCCTACCAATGATCTTTTAAGCCCTAACTCTAGCTCTCATCTCACTTGACCTCTACAGTTTTTGACACTGTTAACCCCCTCCCCCTCCTCCTGAATTCTCTCTCCTTTCTTGGCTTTTGGGAGACAACTCTGTGTTTGTTTCCTCCTACCTGTCTGAGAGCTCCTTCTTCATCACCTCTGTTGTACCATCAACCATCTGCCACTGACAAGCTCCAGTGTCCCTGAAGGCTCTGCCTTCAGCCCTCTTCTCTACTCTCTCTACACACTCTTTCTCTTTCTCTCGATAACCTCATCAGCTCCCACGGGTTCAATTATTATCTCAATGCAGATAACTCTCAGCCCTCACAGCTCTCCTGAGCCCCAGCCCCACATTGCCAACTATAGAGGGGGGTGAAGAAGAATGGTACAGTGGAGAGCACAATTGACTCTGGAGTCAAAAGACTCGGGTTCAAATCCTACCTCTTATGCTTACTATCTTGTGCGTCCTTGGGCACATCATTTTAACTCTATAGGCCTCATCAGTTTCCTTCATCTACACAATAAGGGGGTTGGACTAAATGATGTCTCAGGTTCCTTGCAACTGTACATCTATGAACTGTAAGAAGACCATAGCTAGATGGCCCATCACCATTTCAAACTCCATGTATCCAAAATGGAGCTCATTATAGATTACTCCCCAAACCATCCTTCCTCCAAACTTCCCTTTTTCTGGTAAGGACACCACCAACTATTGTCACCCTGTTCCCAGCCCCAAACACAGTGATTGGCAAATATTAATTAATAATTAATAAAAATAATAAATAAAATAATAATTGATAGAAATTAATAAACACTCCTTGAGTTTTTGAATGTTCTCCTAGTGTGCCCTGTGGCTGCCCCCCTTGGCATCTTGCTTCATATTGCAGAGGGAGCATCATCTACCACCCTTCCCGGCTTGCCCCCTAGCCATCAAAATGTACTCTGAGTGAAAGAGTGTGAAGAAATTGAGACTTGGAAGGTCACCTCTGAAAGGCAGCTGCCCCATTGTTTCAGCCTTCTTAGTCCCCCAAGGAGAAGGAGCAGGCCCTCTGGAAAACAGGACCCAAACACCAATTTTTGCATGACAATAAAAATATTGTTACTACCGATGAGCGGGATGCTGGTATTTGCCATTTGCACAAGACCTTACAGCTCACCCACATTTTCACACCTCTCCTTAGAAAATAGCCCTTGGACGCAGTGACCACACAATTCCAGAGGAAGGAGCCTGCTGTCACCTCTTGCCAGAGAAGGGGATGAACTTGAAATGCAGAATGAGAGGATTTTGGACATGGTCCCAATGTAGGAATTTGTTGTAACTATGCATATGTGTCATGAGTGTTTTCTTTTTCTTTACTGCTCAATGGGTAGGGATGGCAGAGAGAGAAAACATATTAAGAAAAAACAAAGAGAAAATGGCCCTTGAAATTAGACAGCTTAGAAATTATTACACCCATTTTATAGATGAGGAAATTGGTTTTGATAAGGACATGTACCTACTAAGTGGTGGAATAAAGATTCAAATCTAGATCTTCTAATCTCTAGGCCAGGATTTTGTGATTTTTTTTTCCCACTAAATTACCCTGATGAAATTTTCCCCTGGGAAGGACTCAGCTTCATCAGAAACACAGTGTGTCCGGGTGTCAGAGCACAGAAAAATACCTGGTAATAGGGAAGATGGAAGCCTTTCTGCAGCTCTTCCAGCAGGTTGAGGAGGGTGGTCCCTCCAGAAGACTCTGTCCTTTCATGATGCTCAGTGACAGTTCCCCATTGGCACAACCCCTAGTCCCTGTGACCAGTGAAGAATCAGCAGGCATTGCCACATCATCTCAGCAGAGCGACGTCCTTATCCCCACGCAAGAGCACAAAGCAAGCAGCATCCCCAGCCATAGAAAGTAACTTCTGGGAGGAAGTGACTCCACAGCTGGCAAGATCAGGAAAAAGGAGGTGGCATTTGGGCCAAGCACTGAAGGATACTAGGAATTCTAAGAGACAGAGACGAGGGCAAATGGCAAAGGCGTGGAGGTGGGAGATACACACACTCATCCACTGGCACATGCAGGATGATGAGATACAGGCTGGTGACTCAGGGGATGGAATAATCGCCCAGGGCTTGGCTAGCATTGCAGTGGTGTTTTCAAAAGCCCTGGCATTCTGAAGCCTATTTGAGGAGTCAGCCAGACAAAGAACCCCATTTCCCGGACAGCAGCCGAGGCTCCATGAAGGGGTGACTGGCTCCAGCTGGCACCCAGCTAGCTGCTCTGGCAGTGGTAAGAGGCCATTGATTTTGGTGGCAGAGAAAAGGGGGGGCTTAGCTTCTTGGGGCTGAGGCTTTATGTCAGCCTCAAGCCCAGAGCAGTTTCTAACATTTCTTTTCTCCTTTCACCTCCTCTTCTGGACCAGGGGAAACATCCCTCCTCCCTTCTCCCCCAGCTCAGCTCCAGATGGGGGCACCTGGCAAGGTCGGTGTTTTCTGTCCATTCTCATGCCCGGCCACCAATGTGGACAAGATGGTTGGGGCTTCTTGGCTTGACTCCTCCGGAATGAGAAGGGCTAACAGGGCAGTTGTAGAGGGGATAATTCCCATTGGAAGTTGGCCACCGTGTAATCAGTGGCTGGAGCAGGTTATGCTAAGGCTATGGGTGACCTAGACAGGCTAGCACATGAGGGCCATCGGCTCAGGGAGACATAATTTAACTGCAGACAGGGATCTTTGTGGAAATCCAGGTGCTCTCTTTTACCTGCCTCAGGTCTTTGCTGAGAGATAGTGTTATGCAGTGGAAAGAACCACGGGCTTGGAGTCAGAAGAACTGGGTGGTATTAAGCTTTGGGGAAAGCTCTGGGCCTCAGTTTCCACCTCCTCAAGGGGTTGGTCTAGACTAGCTTCCTGTTTGGGACTAGGAGGGGTCTTCAGGGAGCCTTTAATTAGGAAACCACTTGTTTCCCCAAGTCTTTGGCATCCCGAGCAGAGAGCCCCCTGGCTGCTGCTGCTGTGGCCAGTCCGGAGGGGTCACTGAATGGCTGCCCAGAGGAAGCCTTAACTAGCCAGCTTAAGAGACAAAGCACTGACCAGAAGGCTTGGCAGAGGCAGGAACAGGTGTTGAAGGCTCTGAAACCTCCTTAGCCCCCAGAACCGTCACGGTGGGTGGAGCCAGCTGTCTGCATAGGTGGTGAGCTCCCCAGCCCTGCAGGAGGGTCTTTCTGTTCTGAGATTCGGGGACCTGGTACGGCAGGGAGGGGATCCAATAGCGATATGAGTCACACAAAACCCCAAGCAGTTCTGGGGGTTGGCTAGAGGGAGCCTGGGGCTGTAGCGACAGAGCCCGCGTTGCGGGTTCTTATAACGGGGGCATGTCGTGACAGACGCCTGCACCGCGGAGGTCGCATTCCCGTCCAGGTATGTCTCCACGTGGCGCCCAGACGGGGAGGGCCACGGAAGCAGGTCCGGGAGCAGGCGTTTAGGGAGCCAGCCCGCCAGAGAACCGGCCAGTCCTCCAGGAACACAGAGTGCCAGGATAGAGCGGCAGCGAGGAAGCGCCGCGGAGCCACTGTAAGGACGCGGGTGGGGAGGAGGCGAGAGGGGGTGTGTACCGGGCCGCGGCGTCGGCACGCAGGGCGGGGCAGGAAAGGGAGGGGGCGGGGCCTCGGGCCCCCGCGGCAGAAGGTACGGAGGGGGCGAGGCCGCGGCGGCGGGGGCACGCAAGGCCCGGCGGGGCGGGGCCGCAGCTGCGGCTGGGGGAGGGGAGCCCAGGACAGGGGATGGGCGGGGCCGCCGCAGGCGGAGGCCGCAGCCCGGAGCCGGAAGCGGAAGAGGCGCTAGGAGCTGGGAGCGGGGCCTAGCCGGAGCTGGAGCGCCCGGGAGACGGTGAGAGCCCCCCCACCCCGCCGTCATCGGCAGCCCCCTCCCCTCCTCTGCCCTTCCCTCCGGCCCGGTGCGTGGGGTGCGGGCGGGGACGGCGGGCGGCCGCGGCTCCTCCCCCTCCGGGCGCCCTCCCTCACTCCTCCCTGACCTCTCACCCCTGACCCCGCCAACCCCTATTGGGCCCTCCAGCCCCACCCCGACCCGACCCTCCCAGGGACCCCCCCTTAAGGTCGCCCCCCGCTGCCCATCCCCCCATTCTCTTATCCCCCTAAATCCTCCCGCTTTCAAAATCGCCCCCCGTCAAAACTTCTCCCCGCCCTTAATCCCCCATTCCCTCAACCCTTCAAGCCTCCCCTTTAAGTCCCCCGTGCTCTTAAAAATACCCCCCCTAAAATCCTCTCCCCCTTCCAAGGCTGCCGTTAACTCCTCATTCCTTTCCCCCCCATAAGTCTCCCCATGCTTTTAAAATCCCTCCTGCCCTTAAAGCCCAAACCCTCCTTTAAGTTTCCCCTCCCCACCCCACCCCACCCCCCGCGCTAAAATTCTCCTTAAAATTCTCCCCATGTCTCCCAGCCCCCCAAGATGGACATGCCTAAGGTGCCTTTGGCTGTAAAATCTCCCTTCCCCCACGGCGGATGCCCTTAAAACCCCCATCCACCTCTCTTTAACAAAAGTCTCCATTTTCCCCGTAAAATCTCCACCCTAGCCTTTCTTGGCTGTGTCTGTCCCTAAAATGTCCCCATCTTTTCCAGCCCCACCCCCCAACCTTCCAATGAGATTCCTATTTCTGAAATCCCCTATCACTACCCATAACTTGTGCCTCTAGAGTTCTTTTCCCCTAAAGTGCCGGCATTTCTTGTCTCCATAATCCCCACCCCCACCCCCTTCTTATAAAACTCCTCCCAGACAGACGACTCTTGCCACAACGTTATCCTTCAGTGACTGTCCATAAAATCCTCCCTGACACACAGATTGGCATCTTTGACCCCCGCCCCTTTGCCAATATCATTGCTCCTGAAATCCCGCCCACTAGATACATTTCACCCTTGAAATATACCTCTGCTTTTCACTCCTGAAATTTCCATGTTGGAAAGATTAGCACTCCAAAAATGCATTCCTCCTCGGCCCCCCCCCCAAGTTGTTAGCATGGCGGAGCCCATTGCCAGGTGTGTCCAGGGCTCAGAGTCAGATGTTTGGGGTGGTCTCGCTTCTGCTTGCTGTGCCCACCCCCTTGCTCTGCCTTGATACCATATAGCACCCCAAGGAAACTGAGACTGTGGTTTGAGGGAGGGGGGACCAACAGGAAGATGACCTGCAGAACCCCAAGAAGGTACCTCAGCTATTCCAGGAAAGCAAGACTGGGGAGTCCTCAAAGTGCCCTAAGTATTCACAGCTGTTTGCCAGCTGTGCCCTGGGCTGAGGAAAAGAGCAGAGTGTTTTTGTTGTGATAATTCCAGACCTGAAAATGAAAGAGATTCTTGAGACAGGAGCCCCGGAGTTAGGCCTAGTGTTTTCTTAGCTGATGGTATGAACACCCTAGATCTTTTCCTTTGCGGGTTTTCTCACCTTTGACTGTGAGGTTTGGCCTCCCCCTCATCCTGCCTAGTTAAGACAGAACTGGGGTAGGACTTTATAGAGACAACCCCTTTGGCAAGGCAGAACTGGCTGCCTTCCACCTTCCTTCCTCTGGCCCCATTTCCAGTGCCCTTGAGAAGAAAAATTTTCAACCTCTGTGGTGTCAATTTGAGAGTTGTTGGGGGATGAAATTGCAGCAGTGGTGGCAGCAGCAGCCCTCCAGAATTACTATGGGGTACTAGATTGGGCAGGATCCAGGGAGAGGGCAGGTGCCAGCCATGGCTGGGCTGGATGTTCTTGTTGGCCCAGTTTTCCTGATGCCAGCAACATACGAAAAGCTGACAAGGAGGCTGTGCCCTTAGACCTCTGAACAGACGGCTGGCATCTTAGCAGCATGGCATCTGGACTTGGTTTGACTTTTCCCATTCCTCAGCATGCAGTAGGAAAACTAGAGCAGGTTTGGGACTGACTGCCTTTAAAAGCTGTTCTCTTCTGTGGCTCACCTCAGAAACTTGGTGTTGGGCCATCCTGGGGTACCAGTGAGTCTGGGAGATGGGCCTTAGGGCTAGCAGACTTTTGGAGGGTGGTGAATCTGGAAATCTTGCATGTCAGGTTGAGCCATGGGCAGCTTTCCACCCAAGTCATTTGGAAGTGAGTTTTAAAATTTGTATTGGTTTGAATGAGGCTGCCCCGTAATACAGGTTTTCATCTCTGAAACGAAACCTTGCTGAAAGGAATATGAGTGCATACACACACACAAACTCACACTCTCTCTGTGTATGTCTACAAAGCTATGTAGAATTATTTTTCATTGGAAACAGAATACTTGGACACTGAAATTTCAGCAGGCCCGTGCCTGCGTGTGTGTGTGTGTGTGTGTTGCCAAAGGGATGCTAACAGGCTCCATGTATTGTTGCCGTATGGTTTCTCCCCATCTACTTTTCTGATCTGTGTCATTGAGTTTGATGGAGCCACTTTGGCAGTTGAAAGCAGCAGCCAGCATTTTAGTTGCTTACAGGTGGGTGGCCATGGGACAAATTGCCCTATCTTTGGAGAGGTGGGGTCTTCTCCTACCTAAGCCACCCTCCCTCCCAGTGGTCCCATCCAGCCTGGGCAGTGGGGAGAAGGCAAAGAGAGTCATTGGGCTTTGTGGTAAGATTCCCTCTCTCTAAGGAGGTCAGAGCTGGCCTGCAAATGGGAGCTTTCAAGGGATTCTGCCACCCTAGAAGGTTTAAGCTTTATGTGTAGCTAAGAATATTATTATAAGCTACATAGGTTTGATATAAACTAGATTTGGGGGGAATGTGGCCTAGATTTGAAGCAATATGGTACCCTCGATTAGTTTAATGTAACCCAGCTGTGTTATTGGAATCCATCCTTCACTTAGGAATAAAGTTGGCCGTTGATTTGATGGACAGCAGGATGTCATCTTGAGCCCTACAAGACATTTCTGTAAAAGCTCTATCTAAGGGGCAGCTAGGTGGTGCAGTGGATAGAGCATCGGCCCTGAGTCAGGAGGACCTGAGTTCAAATCCAGCCTCAGACCAAACACCTGACACGTACTGGCTGTGTGACCCTGGGCAAGTCACTTAACCCCAGTTGCCTAAAAGTTTAAAAAAAAATTAGGGGCAGGTAGGTGGCACAGTGGATAGAGCACCGGCCCTGGATTCAGGAGGACCTGAGTTCAAATCCAGTCTCAGACACATAACACTTACTAGCTGTGTGACCCTGTGCAAGTTACTCAACCCCATTGCCTAGCCAAAAAAAAAAAAAAGCTCTATCTAGGAGGCAGCTAGGTAGCTCAGTGGATAGAACTGGACTTGGAGTCAGAAAGACCAGAATTCAAACTCTGCCTCAAGTCACTGCATGTGTGACCCTGGTCGGGCATTTCACCTCAGCCTCAATTTTCTCATCAGTGAGATAGGGATAATAATAGTACTTACCTCCCAGGGTTGAGGATAAAATGAGAAAATTTGTAAAGCACTTTGCAAACCTTAAAGAACTATATGAATGTGAATTATATCATCATCATCATCATCATCATCATTTTTATTCAAGGACTCCTTTGATATCTTGCTGTGGCCTGGAGGTGATCCAGGTCCTTCAAAGCTGTGCTTATGAAACCCAACCTCTGGCAATGTCTTCCTAAGTTGGAGAGCCTTCAAGGACAAGGCCAGGGACAGACTTTATGTCAGAGGACCAGCCTAGTTAAATGTGAAGAGGCTTGTCACCAGGGTAGCCATAGGGTGCCATATATTCTTTGGCAGAGGGTGAGAGGAAGCTCTCAGCATGATGCTAAGAGAGGTTATGATCAGTATAGGTAATCAGAAGGATTACCCATATCAATGAAGCCAGATTTTTAAAAACACTGAAGAAACACTCTAACGTCTACCTGGACGTTTACATGTAGATGATGTTAGGGGCTCAGAAAGTAATCTTTGGCCTAAAGCAGGTTCCTAAATCACTTTCTAAATCCTGTGATTGAGGATGAGAACCTGCATTGAAATGTCAAGTTGAATCAGGCTTGGCCCCCACTCTAGCCACAGTAAAACATTTCTGATGGCTCTTGGATACATATTTTTATTCCCCAGCTTGGCTGCTTAGCTTGGGGATAATTACAGGAAACTAATGTAATATTAGTCAGCTGATCTTAAAAGACTTTTTAAACATAAAGCATTAACCCAAATTCAGTCTGAAGTTACTAGCAATGCCCCTATGGAATATTTATCCCTCTGGAGGTCTACTTTCTAGGTACCTTTTCAGCCTTATAAGGTGGGAGTTGTGAAGAAGATGGGAAATTCATCAGTGGGCATCCTGAGACAGAGTTACTTTATCTCAGTCATGGGAAGTCTGAGCAGTCACCCAGACCAGAGCTTCAGTTTTAGTCAGTACTCTATTAGGAAGTAATGCAGTTAGTCCAGAACTGACCAGCCAGCTGGAGGATTGTTCTACCTAAGTGGTGAGGGGAGGGAGGGAGGTTACAGGATAGGGGTGGATGGAACGAATCAAAATTGGGCGCTCATCAAGCTAACAAAAAGGCATGTTCCATGAGTGGGCCTCTACATCCAGTGCTCTGGAGTTGGTGGAATAGGGATTCCCCTGGAATC